CTCTTGTTGTTTTAATCCTAAGCCTTTCTGGCTCCAGTAGCTTCTTAGGGAATTTGGAACTTCTTGGGTGCTTAGATCTTTTCCCAGTTTAAGGAGGAGATGGTGGTTTGCCTGGGCAACTCTTTGAAGCATAGAAAAAGGTTGCATTGTGGCTGTATTCCCTGGGGGAGCTGAGGGCAGCAGCCAGGTAACTGGAATGGTATCCCAGTGCAAACTGGGCAGCAAAAACATCTGCTGCACTGAGCTCCTCTCACATTTCAGGCTGCTGCATAAATACCCAGTGTTTACTAGGAACCAGGTCAGACATGGCTCCTGGCAGCCTCCAGCAATGATTTCCAGGGCTCCCTTCCAGCTCAGCTCTGCTCCTCCTCACAGCTTTTCTACTGGTTCTTTCCCTCTTACCACCTTTTGGTTTGTTTTATCCATGGCCTTTTGCTCAACAACAGTCACAAAGCTCTTCCTCAGGAGGCAAACTTGTATATATCCAAGTGGAAACCCAAGGTGGCAGGTCATAATTTCTTCATCTGTGCAGATTTTTCTAGAACTTTCTTTGCCTTGATTTAACATCTTGGGATGTTGGCAATAACATTCCCACCCTGTGCCTCAGAGCATTGGGCAAACACTCCTGGAGCTCTGTCAGCCTTGAGGCTGTGACCACTGCCCTGGGGAGCTGTTCAGTGCCCAAACACCTCTGGGGGGAAAAAATACAACAGTCACAAAGCTCTTCCTCAGGAGGCAAACTTGTATATATCCAAGTGGAAACCCAAGGTGGCAGGTCATAATTTCTTCATCTGTGCAGATTTTTCTAGAACTTTCTTTGCCTTGATTTAACATCTTGGGATGTTGGCAATAACATTCCCACCCTGTGCCTCAGAGCATTGGGCAAACACTCCTGGAGCTTTGTCAGCCTTGAGGCTGTGACCACTGCCCTGGGGAGCTGTTCAGTGCCCAAACACCTCTGAGGGGAAAAAATCTTGTCCTGATATCCAACCTAAACCTCTTCCAGTGCCCAAACACCCTCCACAAAAAGAACCTTCTCCTAATCTCCAACCTAACCCTGTTCCAGTGCCCAAACACCCTCTGAGGGAAGAACCTTCTCCTAATACCCATCCCAAACCTCCCCTGACACAACTTCCTATAGGAATATGTTCACTAGGAGCCTAGAGGAGACCAGAGGAAATCTGGAAGGGATTTCAGGAATAGGTTGTACACATCCTCATGGCATCAGGACCAAAGAACAGCACCAGAAGTTATTCACAGACCTGCAAAAATGGCTCTCAGAACCTCCTCCTGCCTTTACTCTCTAGGATTGCTGCTTCAGCATCTTCTAGGCCACAAACCCCAAATTTATTTCTCTTTCTCTCCAACACTTGTTTCTGTGTACTCAAGTCAAGTGTTTCCTGCCTCAGTGACAGATATTCCAAGGTAGGAACAGTGCACAGGGAGTGACTTACAAGGGAACACAAACCACCCAAGCTTGCAGAAAGTCTCCAACATGAGCCTTTGGGGTAGGAGAGGAGGATTGTCAGGAGCTCAGCCACCCTGTTTGCTGGCACTGGGGCTCTTGGTTTGCGTGGGAGCAAAGCTCAGCCTTGGGCTAAGTGCTGGTTCTTGTTTTCTTCTAGATTAAGGAGATAACATTCCTGAAGAATACAGTCATGGAGTGTGATGCCTGTGGTGAGTTACTGAGCTGAGTCCCATGTTCAACTGCCTCCTGCAAATCCTTCATAGCTTTGTGTCCAAACGAGCAGTCCAATGCCAGCTGTGATCACCTTCCCAAGGGAAATGGTTTGGTTCGCCCTCACCCTGAGTGGCACTGGGTATTCCTCAATATTGGTGATGCTTTTTCTGCTCCTCCCAATGTTCTGCACACAGGGATTGCTGCTCCATGCTGTTCTTGTGGCTCAGTGGCAGCTGAAGCTCTCACCCCTTAAAAAGCTTCTATTTCCTCCCAGCAAACAATCATAGAATCATGGAATCACAGAAGGTTTGGGTTGGAAAGAACTTAAAGACCATCCAAGTCCACCCCCTGCCATGGGCAGGGACACCTTCCACTAGCTCAGGTTGCTCCAAGCCCTATCCAGCCTGACCTGGAACACTCCCAGGGATGGAACAGCCACAGCTGCTCTGGGAAATTATTCCAGTGCCTCATCACCCTCCCAGGTAGGAATTCCTTCCCAATATCCCATCCAGCCCTGCCCTCTGGCAGTGGGAAGCCATTCCCTGTGTCCTGCCACTCCACGCCCCTGGAAATAGTCTCTCTCCATCTTTCTTGTAGTTCCTTCAGACCAAAATTAGATGACCCTGAAGCTTCTCCAGGCCTTCCCAGCCTTTCCTCAAGGCAGAGGTTCTGATCACTAAGGTGATCACCTTGCACCTCTGATCACCTTGGTGCCTTCTCTGGAGGTTGTTTACAGAGGAATCAGGAAAGAGCATCCTAAATGTTCCCATCTAAATCTTGCCCTGTGCTCCCCAATAAATGTGGGGTTGTTGTTTTTTTGAATACACTGGAGCTTCTTCCCAGTCTAAAAGCTTTGGTCTGGGAGATGCTCTGTTATTTGCCAACACACTCAGAGAGGGTGGAGCAAGAACCATTCCTGCACTTGGAGAGATTGTGCTTCTGCTGGAAAAGAGATTAACCAAAGCTTCAGGGACCTGCAGGCCAGAAATACATTCATCCCCTGCAATTGGTTTAATCATTTGCTCATAAAACTGTCCTGAACTTTCTCTCTGTTACTTGATTTCTGCCTTCCTCACTTGCTCTTCTGCTTCATGTGTGTTCTGCTCACTGCAGGGACACACATCAGTTGGGTTTCTCTCATTATAGCTCAGAGAGAGCAGCATGAAGAGAGGAGATCTGGTTTCTAATGAAGATTTTGCTGCTGGCAGAGTCTTGTTTGCTGTTTTATTTCAGGCTTTTCATATCGAGCTTTTAAGCTGGAGAAAGCAGGAGCAGAATGTGTCCTTGTCACTGTGGGTGAGATTGTGCTGAGTCGTGATTCTCGGAAGGTTTGTTCACAAGGTTGAGTCAGAGAAGTTCTTCATCCCTGAAATTCATTCTGCAAGGGGGTCAGGGTGTGAGGATAAGGACAAAGCTCTGGAATTTGGCAGGGCTGATAGTGTGGGCCAGGCTGGATGTGCTCTGAGAGCCACAGCCATGAGGCTGCAGCATCATTTCATCGGGGTTACAACTCCCTGCACATCACACTCAGCACTTCATTGCTGCATTCCAACCTGGACGTGCTGAGTGCCTGAATGACAGATTGATTTCTCCTCTGCCAGCATGGAGGGAGCATTCCCAGCCCTGTGGAGAGAACAGGGACTGTGGGATGTGCAGCATTCCAGGTTCCTGTGAGTCTGATGTGAGTGTACTCCTGTTTGCCCTGTTTGCCATGCAGGGATTGAGGTTGCTTCCCAAATTTGAGCCCTCCGCACTGCTTCCCAAATTTGAGCCCTCTGTGGGTTCTGCTTTAGCCAAATGGATGAATCCACCCCCCAGGGAGGTGTCTCTGTGGAGGATCCAGGGGCACAACTGATTGCTGGAGAGCTCCAAAAGCATCACAGCAAGGAGGAAAGTGGCACAACCAGAGGTTGGGACTGGCAGCTAAGACTTGGAAGTGTTCAAAGCCAGGTTAGGTGAGGCTTGGAGCAACCTGGGCCATTTCCAAGGGCCTGGAGGGACAGGATAAGAGGGAATGGCTTCACACTGACAGAGAGGAGGTTTAGATGGATATTGGGAAGGAATTCTTCCCTGTGAGGTGCTGGCACAGGTTGCCCAGAGAAGCTGTGGCTGTTCCATCCCTGGGAGTGTTCCAGGCCAGGTTGGATGGACCTCTGAGCACCCTGGGCTGGTGGAAGATGTCCCTGCCCATGGCAGGAGGTGGCACTGGGTGATCTTTAAGCTCCTTCCAATCCAAACCATTCTGTGATTCAATGTCTTCTGGCATTTCTTATTTATTTTCCATCTGACTCATAAAAAAACCTCTCAACTGATGATCCTTAAGCTCCCTTCCAACCTTAACCATGAATCTTAGGATTTATCTCACTGCAACTCCTCCACCCTGAGGATAATCCCCTTGCACAGAGCACTCTGCCACCTCTGGAGACACCAGAGCCACCCATGCCAGGCACAGCTCTGACCTCCCCACTCTCTTTGGCCTCCAGGGATTCGCCCCGAGGTGACAGGCCCTGTCATCACTGTCACTCAGTTCAACAGATGTCTCCCCAATCCCTGTTTCCCTGGGGTGACCTGCACGGAGACCGGCGCTGGATTTCGCTGCGGGCCCTGCCCCCCTGGCTACTCTGGCAATGGGACCCACTGCACAGACATCAATGAGGTAAAACACCCTTCCCACAGCCTGGGACACACACAACCACCTCTGTTTTCAGGGAGCCTTCCAGATTTGGCTTGTGGTTATGAGGCAAAGT